TCGAGCACTAGACGCGGAATTGCTTACACTTGACGCGTATCTTCTGTGTGGTTGTGGTATTTCACCGCACGTACAGGCTAATTCGTGCAACAGATTATACTGTGAGTTTTAGCTCTGTCAGTAAAATGGGTGGAATTTTCCAAATGAAAAAGATTAATGTGACCACATTTAGAAACAAACAAACTGTGACATTCCAACATAGTGAAAACCACACATTGATTTTTTCCGCGAAAATACAAAAAGTGAGCATTTTAACGTGTTTCATTTTAATCATTTTAAAAACGATGCAAATTTTCTAAATGATGGTTCGATGAAAAAAACATGCAGCAAAATGAAAAGTAACATTTTGCCAGACATTTCAATTATCGAACTTCGTAATTGGTTTGTTTTTTGTACATTTTCAGTTCCAGAAACATTCTGTGTACGCAACATAAGTGTAAATGTGTGAGTTTTTTTAAAGAGAATAGGGGAGGAGGGTTGTGAGAGTTTAGGTAGTCGAAAAACCTGTATGCATGCAACATTTAATTAACGCATAAAATCTCCGTTGCATGCAAATGAGAGTTCCAGCTTTTATACAACACTTGATTTATCACGTTTTAATTTCAGAGGCAATCGTTGATCAACATATATTTAATTATGTAAAAGATGAAATATTTTAAATTGATACAAAATATTAAAAACATTTCATAAAATTAAGTTTTATTCGATAGATCTTTTTCGTTTTTTTATCTTTTTAAACATAACGGTAAAAGAAAATTAATTTATAAAGATATTTTATTGTTTGAAGCATGTTTGCAAGGTTTTCATCGATCACTAAAATTTACGTGAGATTTGTTTAATTGATTCAAAGTGTCGACACGATTCAATGTAAAATAATTGAAATGTTTGATTTAGGTAAAGTTATAGCACGAGGAAAGATGTTTCATTCCTAATCTAGAATTGTAACACGAAGTGATAATTTAAATAATGAAATATTTAACACATCAATGGTTGGTAATCGATAGAAAATTCAATATTTTACTGTTAATCTACTGTTAACCATATACCCACAAACCCTAAAGTAAAGTTTTGATTTCAATCTAATGTAAAAATATACGTAATAAATCTTTAATAAACGATAAGATTGTGAAAAATAATATGAGTAATATAGAACAGTAAAGACTTTATATAAGTTTGTTTAATTTCATGTGCAGAATGTAGATTAAAAAATGTTTAGTCAGGTGACTACTGGTCTAGGTGTAATATCAACAGAAAGCTATCAGCGCCACACCGAGTCGACACAGAGCGAGGTAAAAACGGCTGGTTGAAATAACTATCCTCCCGTGACCTGAATAAGTCTTGTGGCACGGCTTCCAACTTTCGACGCTTTTGTCTCCGGTTTTCCTCTTTTTATTTTCCTTACAGACACGCGTATATTTACGGTCGCAGCGGTTCCTTTGTACTGATGAAAATCCTTGTCTGTTGGTCGTTTGTTTGGTTTTTCTACTTTTAGTTACTAGATGTATGTGAATGTGGATACATTCTGGTACACAAATTAATTAATTAAATTGTGCAAATAAACATACGTTATAATAAATCGATAGTAAATAATAATAGTTATTTAAAAACGTTGTTTGAATTTTTAAAAAAATATGAAGGAACTTGTTTACTAAAATCGTCGCCTGTGACTATAAAAAATGTACGGCATGGATGTAATTTGTATATTGATAAGCCGGTTTTTTTTTCATAAACGGGCTCAGTTAAAGGCAATAGCTACTTAATGTTAAAATAAAAATCTTACTTGAGCTCCAACCATGCCCCTCCTCAGTCTGGGTAGATCAGTATGAGAGTACTTGGATTTGGACCAGGGCTCGACGACGGTCAGGTCAGTGTCCAGTTCGAACTCGTTGATCTGGTTGCGAAGAAACTTGCGGATGTTCCAGGGCAGATCGTTATGGCTAAAGAAAAAGTCAACTCTTATAATCTGATTGACGGAAAGCTTGATTTTGTTATTCTTAGGTACAAGAGTTCCATCAAGTGATCGTGAACGCGGCCTAATTGTATTTTGCCTAGGCAAATTGTAAAACGTCGGCGTTCGGAAAAATATTAGTGGCTGCAAGCCCGCAATTCATTAAAAAGACATCTTAGTGTCAAAAATAAAACACTTCAGTTCGTGAATCGTTACCTTAAATAAGTAATTTGCAAATAAAGCGCTTTTAACGCTCCAGTGACATTTATAAAGTAGAACTTCCAGAGATACAGACCCGTCGGTAAGCGGTACCTCCTCCAGGATTTGCTTGGCGATATCAAGACGCTCGCGGTCGTAGGAGGCAGCGGCCACTACCGCGGTCACGGCCAGCAGCACGCACGCCACCGCGCGTCGCTCGCAGCGGTTCACCATTCTTACTGCAACATAACATATTTTTTGGTAATGTTGCCGTCGAGTATGCTTATTTCCTAACTTAATTACTTCGCAAACTTGAAATAGTAAGTACGTGTTAAGATATAACTTTTAAGAAGACATTTTTATATTCGATTCAAAGTAATAGCGTATTTATTCTTTGAATGTACATATGTTGTGTTTAATTTTTCTTTCCATTAAATAATTGAAAATAATTAAAATAACTGAAATTAATACATACATAGAGAGAGCCGAAGTACGCTTATTACAAATTGTACTATATTGTAAAATCGCCGGCACGAAAGTAGAACCGAGACGACGACGACTGCGCAGGTACACTTGAGTGAAAAAATATTTTATAATAATGTATCGTTCATTGATTTTGCATAATTGGGTTTATTTATAAATTAGTTTGCTCTACTCTGTAAAACTCTACATTATGGTGAATTTTACATTTGCTTTGTTAGCTTCCGAGGGGAATTAAAACTACTTTAGCATGCGATTAACATTATATCGTTCTTACATATTTTGAATGTTGATAAAGACTATTTAAGAGATGTTAAGTTGGATATTACTTGAGTCGTGTGGAGCTTGCGCTTTAGTAAGTTTCGGGTACTTAAATCATTTTTCGCGTAGGTTCTACTTACGTGCCGATTATTATACAACAAGGCTTTTAACCACAAAATACTTCTAGTTGAACCGTTTTTAGTACGTTCTTTATTTATTAAAGAATAAAGATAAAAAATAACAGGGGTATAAGATAAGGATTGTAAATAAGTATTAAAAGATAATATTTTCGTACTTACAAAAAGGATCCTCATTGCTATTAAGCTCAATACAGAAGTGATTATTTACAAAACATGTTTGCTCATTTTTTAAGTTTTATCATGATACATTTTAAAAAATAAACAGGATATTTTGAAGTGGGAAATAATCCATCTTAAGATGACAGATGTGACGTTAAACGTTGATTCCTGTTGATGTCACACGTAAAAATGATAACGTCCCTTTCATCTTATAAAATATTTTTTACGTCTTATTTTGAACGCGCATTATTAGGTGTCAAATCAAAAGTGCGTAACCGTGTCTCTGTAAGCAATCTTGAAATTGTCTTTCAGATATTTAGAAGCAGCTCGATGAGTTATAGAAATTGAAAATATACGAGTACATTGTTGAACATCGCAGTTTTGTTATTGTTTCTTTAGTTTCAAACTATAACAGTTTCATATGAAAGTTGAAGTAAATGTTTTCTAAAGACATTCAACATTTAACAGACAACGCAAACTGCACAACGACATTAGTTCCGATAATATTATAATATTATACCTTATCGGCGTTACTAACGATTATGGTTAAATTACTTATAGGAAAATACTCCTTATGCGCGCTCTATTAGTGATGTAATTGAATCTTTGATGAGCTCAAAGCTAACTGGAATTTGATTATATTTACCGATATAGAACCTCTTCTAGGTTAGGAATACTATAATACTTAAATATTCATTCATATTAAGAGATATTCCTCTTCTTTGAAGGATTATCGTTAAGACCAAGAAGAATAAAGATATTATATTGTTAACAAAGTTTAAGCGCTTTGATTTACATTTTAATAATGAATGTACAGTAAAGATACCCCGAAATATGTCAAAATATTCGCGGCTTTGATCTTTCGTGCTTGTTTTTAGCGACAATGTAGGTTGGAAATCATTTCTGCTGCCGAATTAACGTGTTTCTGTGAGCGTTACATAGCGGGTTATTAAAAACTCTATTCTGGTTTTCAAATTTTTGGTGTTTTGAGTTGGGATTATAATACTCTAAAATGGTAATATGCAAGCAATATTGAACTTTTTAAACAACAACATTCTGAAGCGATCCACTCGTTTATGGCTTCGTAAGCTTTAGTAAAATCTGCAAATTCTATATTTCAATAGGTAGTGGTAGCTTGTATAATCTCTCCATCTTTTCCCTCAGAAATTTTCCGCTACTGAAATAGAATGAGACGTATTTTACAAATAGCTCTTGAAGATTGTGAACTCGATAGTATCATTGCTTACATCTGCTATCTTTCAAATGGTCGTCTCAAAGCGTCGCATCGATTTCGCGGAAAATTTAAAGGCGGCTCACACTCCGAGCAGTTCGCTTCGTGTCGCTTGTAACGCCCCCACATTTTACCTTGTGTCTGTCGACAATTTTGCTAGCAATCGGTTTTCTACGGACATATTTTTTGCACATATTGTGCACTACTATTATACATTTAAGGCTCTCTCGTCTCTTTTCATATTTATTTAGGTTTTCAATAAATACATCGTGCAATTTTGCTGATTTGTATTTAGTTCAATTATACTCTAGATTTCTTGTCTCTGTTTTGTCTAAGAGTGTGAAGGGGATGGCAATATTTATTAATGTAGAGTCATTGGAGTTGTACAGTTAGGAATCTATAAAATGATCTCAGCTGCTAAGTTGAATAATTGTCAATAAGTTATTCATAAGAATTGACTCAATATTAATTGTTCACAATTACAGTTGTTTTTTTTTATTCGAGAGAATGTTTTTTATCACAGTCGATGTAAAAATATTTTAAAACTGCTACAGCATTTTATTCAGGTAAATTCCAAATAAAAAGGAAACATTATAAATAAATATGATCAACTCATTATCAAATAATCTTATATTTATTTGTTAATACCAAACGTCACGCTGATTGAAATGTTTTGCAAGTGACATTAATTGGAATATCGTAATCCAGCGCTGACTGTAATTGGCTTATTTCGCCTCAACGATATCGAGTATGCTGTTAAAATAACGGGAAAGGCTAATTGGAAACTCGATACAGGAGAATTGTGAATCTGGATTTACTTACAACATTTTAATATTCCATATTTAATATTTGATCTCATAGTTCAGTGAAGTTCAATTGCGGAGCAAACGAACAACCTACCCGCGTCGGAGAATTAATTTGTTCAGTTTGAAAAACGGAATGAGCGTTTAAGAGTATATGAAAATGTAAACGAATAAGTGTGTAGCGTACAAAAACAAATTCATCGTTACATTGCCTATTTATTAGTTAGTTTAGTTTAATAAGCCGTTATTATTAGAATATTTCTACTGGTTAACACTATTGAGATAAAAAAAGGTTCAAAGATACCAAGGTACATACCTGCAGTCACAAAATTAGGCAGTTTGATAGTTAAACGCCAAAAAGGCGTACCACCTGAAACAAAAAGCAAACGAATGTTAGCCATAGTCAAACAAATATATATGGCACGATGACAGAGGCGCTGCTGCTGTAACGCGGTTAGTTCTGTCAGAAAATATGAAAAACCAACACGGATATAACAAAAGACATAAAGAAAAATCGAACCTTGTGATACTATTTTTAATATTGTTAGTGAGCTGTCAGAATTTAGTTTGTCGAGTCAAGTACTGGTATATCACCCCCCAACGTTAATGTACACAATCGATACGTATTACAGTATCTGCAGTGGAAGCCAACACTGAAATGTACATCGAATAAGAAGTTACATAAAACTTCTACCTTTTTTATCCTGTTTAAGCACAAACAAGAACAGGAGCGGCCATTAATTACGTGTGCTGTTTTTATTCCATTTTGCACCCCGACACACCCCCGGCGAGATTTAGTGAGATTTGATGGGACACCCTCCCCCTAACATGAGATCACACTGTACTTTTTACAGCTTTAAATTTATTATTTTAGGTTAATACAAAATATGCCGTCCACCTTGGTTTAATTTATACTTTAAGTTACACGATATACATAAATTGACTTTTGTATTTTATGTGATAACTATTTGAGGTTATCTCTATTTTTTTTGTATTTTATACAAGTTTTTCGCTAGTAAAAAAGGTAAGACTGGATGTTATGCATAGTCATGTACGTCGCATCTACCGTGTAATATTCGCCGCTGTCGCTGAGTATTCTAATGAATATTCAATTCGTTCCATCATAGCTACGAAGATTCTATAGCGAGACACCCCTTGCTACACTTTAACCAACGCGTTCACTATAAATATTTACATAAGATTATAGTGTTCATTTGTCATAACGAAGTCATTATGTAGTACTGTCGAATTTTGAAGAAGAAGAAGAGAAATCTACATTACATTATCACATTTACAATAAGGTTCATTTTGTTACACCACTTTTTGCAGAAAGTTGTCTGTGTTATTCTCTCTCTTTTCTTCTATTTATTTCTCACGATGGTATAATAATATTATCATATATCAAATAGTTCACATAAACCAATCTTTACTTTACTATTTATTAAAAACAATATTAACCATTGAGTTAAAATTGAGCCTTCAACAAACACGTTCAATACGAGATTATTCTCGCACGTTTCCAACAATATGTTGTTAAAGGATTGTCGAAACTGTTAGACATGGGTCAGTTGTTTAATGAACTACTCTGTATTTTGTTTCCATGCAGCTTGCGTACTTCGTTAACTTGAATAACACTCTACTGTTTCAATTATTTTGTGCAAACCTACAATAATATGCAGTAGAGTGAAACAATTTATGTAAAAATTAACAGACATCGTTATAAATGAATTGAAAAGTTGACTATACTTATAAAGTTAGTCCGATGCACTAACTAGTTTCCAATAGCGAATCCAGCCCATTAATCATTCACCCATTTGAAGGACGCAGCTGAAATTTACAGCCTGTATTTATTTCTAATTAGTTAAATGTTAGTTTCGAATTGTATTCATAGCAACACGAGACGACATTTATGAATAAAGAATTTCGTCGAAAACAGACAAAATGGTGCAAAAATAGAACGTAGTGACTATGAATTACCCTACATTGTGTACGATGTATGATCTTGGCAAAATGTATCGTGCAAAAGGAAGCCGCGAGCTTTGTGAAAATGTCACCCTGCTCCTTTTTGTGCTTTAAATTTGGCAGAGAAATGCAACAAAATGGAACATTAATTTTTCACATTAAAAATAGCTAGCGGAAAACTGTTTTGGGCTCAAAGAATCTCTAGGGTTTAAAAAATGCATTAAAATGATGGATCTGTATATTGGAAATTTAATTCACTTACGTGTCACTCTTTCAGCTATTGTGTTTTGTAAAAGGTTTTCTGGAAAAAATATTTTAAAAAAATGTAAAAGAGAGTATAAAAGTGACACGAGAAAGGATAAATCAGTGTAAAGCTCGTGGTCATCTTTTGTGAAAACGTAACAGCAATATCTAAGAGAATTTACCAAACTCTACCTACATAATAATTTTATACTTTTTAATTAATGTTGCTTAAGTATAATTACAGTTGTTAAACATCAGGGAGACGCGACTTTGTGACGCCTGACGTCAGATTGCCCCGAGTTAAAGTTTGAAAGTTTCCTCTGTTACCGTGGTCATAAAACTCGACGACTTGCACTAACGAAGATTTATAACTGGATAAATTTTTACAAGTTGTGTTTAATATATTAAGTTAAAGTTTACGAAGCGACGTGATGTGACCTATGATTAATAATTTATACCATTGTTTCGATAGTTTTGCTTCACCGATAGCAAAACAATCGTACCTTGGACTTGCATGCTAGCCCTAGCGTTCAGCTTTGCAATCATATTGTAGATGGCAAATTGCATATATTCCTGGAATAGCGAAGTGACAGCTTCCAGTAGACATAATACAATATGTTAAATAACGACAGGACGCAAAGAAAAATGATCGCTTTCTCTTCACACTTCCCCTCCCGATCCTTTAAAAGAATGATGAAACGGAACACGGCTAACATTGTCCAAGAATTCCATGTGAAAGGTATCTTAATTTTGATAGAAAACATTAACAAAATGGTTACTGATGTTACATTGTATTTTGAAGGCTTTTGTGAGATGTATCTTGAATATATATAATACGTCTATTTTCGTAGATTACTACTGTGTCCTATCCCTGGACATCGCATTAAGATACGCATATCGCCTCGCATACGGATCGATACCAATTACTGGTGTTGCTTACACATCAATAACCTTCAATAAACATCGTATTAGTATTACATACTGTAAGAATAAATATTGGTTTTAATTAATTTTCGGTTGCTGTTTTTGTAATAGAATTTTGTGATAAAAAGATTAAGAAGATTTCGCAAAAAAAAAACTTCTGAATTTCTGTACTACAATATAAACTGTGATTCTATGTTATTTAAAAAAATGTGTTATAATATAATTTAGTGCATGGCTTTCGACAGATGAGACACTGTCAAGAACTTTATATGTATTGTTTAATGAGTTGAATGGAAATTTAATTGTTTTTAATGTTTAACTAAATAGGTTAGTGTTAAGTGATTTATGTATATCTGTAGGTAGTTAGAGTCGATTAGTGCCGCATAATGCATCTCATTGTTTTCCTCGTAACAAGGTTGATTAATGAATTGTGGTTACATGAAACACTTTACTGTTTAATGAATCGGTTCCCGTATTGACATAATACATTCAAAGCGAACTAAAACACTAGCATTGTTTTATTTACATAAGTACGTTGTTGTAACTGTTTTGATTTCGAGCCCTATGTTTTAGTGGATACACGATCTATACATTCACATGGGTAATTATAAATCCTTACTAATATTATAAATGCGAATGTTTTGGATAAATGAATGGAACTTTGTTACAAGGCATCTCCATAACGGCTCAATGAATCTTGATAAAATTAGAGAGATGCAGCGCATAGTCTGGTTGACCATGTAGCCTAGCCTACTAATTAAGTTATTTTAAATTCTTTATTTAGTAAAAAGTCGCGGGCGACAACTTGTACGCATATAAATATTCATACAGTATTTGGTCATAAACATCATAATGTCGTTGAGAAATGTGTTTTCAAGTTTGAAAAGGTATAATTTGTATCATAGTAGGAAAGTTGTTTTAAAATCAAACAAAAGATCTCTGAACTTTCAAATTTTGCAACCATATTTAACTACAGGTCGAATTTCGACCGCCTCTTTACTCGGTATAGCTTCTCTTTTCTGAAGCAAGCTAGCGAAAAATTGACTGTGGAAAGTTTTCAAAAAATGTAAATTTAACCTTTTCATCTAGCATCGCAATATTCTATACAACTACCTACGTTTCGTCTTCGGTTAAATTCCTTCCGAATACTTGAACACCTTCAAATAAGTAAATTGTTGGAGATGAACAGAATAGCGAAGCTGAGCCAGACCCTTTTGCCATCATTGTTTCTAAATACCTGTGTTTTGTGTAAGTTTTTTTTTTGGCAATTAAGAACTTTTTTAAATTATAATACTCACATCATATTAAGTAGTTTATTTAACCGTTTAGCTTATGTTTCCAGTATAACAAATAGCATAGATAAATATCAAACCATACGAAACACGAAAAATATAAACAAATATAAAACGGAAGCGAAACATGAATATTGATTTACAATTCAACGATAGTAAAACTATACAAATAAACCCGTTCACTCTGAAATGTCCTAAAGCCACCACAATTTTGTTACTGTACTGTGCTGTCGTAAATTTTGTTAGCTTCTTTCTTTGTTGTATAAAATAAAAGTCAAGTAACTAAAGAAGTATTACTAAAATCGTATAAAGAACGTTCTTGCAATTTAAGTAATATAATTTTGGTATCGTTCCCGGCCCCGGCCTCGGCTTGGTAATTGAACAAGCTGTATTAGTTCGTAGTCGGAGGATGTCTGAGAAGATAATGTTAAACAAAAGAGAAACAGCTAGGAACGGTCTCTTCCGTTGTTTGTATTTTAATCATTATATTATCCTAAGAGCGGGGGAAATTATGAAGTTCTAGTTATTTAATTATGTTCTATAGCTAGTTGCCGCCAGCGAGACCGTTCCCACGGATTAAAAAAGGTTTTAGTATACTAGACCATTTTCTATGTCTATGCCAAATTTTGGCAAGATCAGATCATCTATTGATTTCATCCATCCATCCATCCATCTAAACTTTCGCATTTATAACATTAGTATGATATTCCAAGTATATACGATGTATGTATTTGAGTTGTTGATCAACTTTAAATTTATTTTCATTATTCCTTGAATTCAGTTTGAAGGAATCCTTATCGAACTCGTATACGGCTGAAGTTTTACATTTTTTTTATAACAATACAATTTTACCAAGCGGTGGCTCGGCATTGTGTGGACGGCAAACATTGTCGCGTTGCCGGTGAGCCGACAGTTATTGTTACGTCGAGTGCCTCTCAACACTCTACAC